AGGTTTTTTACATGTGGTTTCCATAAAGGGATCTTGTTAAAGATATCTTACTTAGAAGTTCGAGCTTTAGCTACTCAAGAGGATACTTTTGCTCTGTAAAGGGCAGCTGAGGTTCTCCAAGCTTTCTGGCATGCTTGCTTAGCCAGAGCAGTGGGCTGCAGCTGTCATCATCCACCAGAGGTGGCAGGAATATCATCTGCACAAGCCATTAGATTCAGAGAGGCAAGAGGCATAGGATGCAAGGCTTAAGAAGAAAACAGGCTGTCAAAGGAGAAAGAAACAAAATTATCATAGTGCACACAACCTCCTCTCCTGAGAGCTATCAATGCAAATATAATGCTGGTAACTACAAGAATTTCTAACTTGTTTATGCTCCTTCAATATTTGCTTATTCTTCAACATTTATCACAGACATGTAATAAAGCTGGTATGAATGTATCTGTCTCATCCACTGGACTCTGAGAACCCTCAGAATCTTGAACTTGGGTAAAACTGAGTAAGGGGCACTTTCAGTATGTTTGTCAACCCACAAAATAGGTAATAATAGTGTTAATTTACACACGTCACACATTTTGGGTTGACTTTTCAAAAGACCTTAGCAACTGGGTACGAAAGTAACTTGTCGTTGAAATGGTGTTAATTTTTCTATTTTTGCATGTATTATTTTCTTTGCTGAAACCAACGAAAAAAACCTGTAAGTATTAAAAATTTACTAAGAGAAAAACGTGCCTCTGGGTTAGCCTAGCCAATAACACAGCATGTTAATTTGAATTAATATAAATCATGAATTACAGGTTGCAGTTGCATTTGAGCTAAGTTGCATTGTTCTGAACAAGTCAGAAAACTATATAATTCCATTATCACAACAAAATCATAATTTGGGTGTTTATGAGTTTTATACATCCAGTGAAGCCAAATGTTTGCTACTGAACCTGTCCTAAAAAATATCTGTGTAGAGTCATTGATTTAAAATACAATAAAATGTGTTTAAAATAAATAAATAAAAATAAAACACTGAACAGCTTTCAACTACAAAAGCTGTCCTCAAGGTAATCTAGTATACACAAATCAGATTATTAACATTACTTAGTAAAGAGTTACAATTAACATTGTCAAGTGTTTGAATTTTAGGCAATGGAGTTAGAAACAAAGGAAAAGATTCCATCATTTTATGGGATGTCTTAATTGGACTGAGAGTAATATATAAGATTATTTATATTTTGATGGATAACTATAGGTTTCAATAACTACCTTAAACTTAGAAACACAAACATGGCACTAAAGAAAATGGACAAGGGGAAGTGTATTTCTAGCTGCCTCATTCTTTTCTTCTCAGTATCCCCCACCTCAGCAAAGAGTGAATCTTCTAGTAGTTTAGGATAAAAACCACACAGTGATAGCTGATGCTTCCCTCCTTCTCTTACATCCAAACCTTGTGTAAATTATGTTAGGTCTGTCTTCAGAATATATACAGTGTTCCCACCAGCTTCCTCGCTATCAACCATTATTTCTAGCTTGGATTATTACAATAATGTTTAGTCCTCAATTGTTCCTTCAACTGTTTATTCATCCACCCATCCAATAACTACTAATAAACAACCACTTAAATCAGATAATGTTTGAGGTACTTCAGTACACAGAGAATTGCCCTTTTGGCCTTTACAAAGGAAATAAACACCTCTTATCTATCCTGAATCTCACTATGGTGCATTGTTCCAGGATATAACTGCCCAGGGCACCTAAAAGTCAATATTGAGAAAATTAATAACTAGGTAAGGTATCATTTTCAAAGTTGGGATCTTAATGCTTTCATTCTAAATCAAACTAAACTGAAGAACCTAATTGATATGTCATTGAAAATATTCTGAGAGGCCACCAGCATCATGATATGCCAAGATTTTTGGCATATACCTCAATAGGAATGAAAGGAATTGAACAACATTGCTATACTAACATTCTTTTTATTCCTCTCAACTTAAAACAACAAGATGTTTTGGCCTTTACATCCCTGAAAATGAAAAGAAAAAGAATTGATGTTGAGCTCTGTCAGATGCTAGCAATAAATAATATTTATCCATGAAAACTTAAGCTAAATGATAAAAAGCCCAATCTCACCAAGAAATACATTTCAATAAAGTATTACTTTTCATAATTATTCAAAATTATAATATATATAGGTTGACCAGCTGTATACTAATAATAGTTGTAATGATAAAAAAAAAAACTTACCTGGATTGACTTAACATTTAGAACATTATGACCACAAGATATGCAGTCAATATTAATACACACCTATCTTTTTTTGCGGCAGCAAAGAATGATAACCAGTAAGACTTTTATGCCGAAAACCATACTACGTAAGAGTAGAATTCTGTAGGTCTGGGTTTCTCAGTAGCATACCACTACTGACATTTTGGGCTGATTAATTTTTGTTGTTGAGGGTTGCTTTGTGCAATGTAGGATGTTCTGCAATATCCCTGGCCTCCTCCCACTAGAAACCCAGTATCCCCTACTCCTAGCTAGGACACCAAAAATGTGTCCAGATATGGTCAAATGTTCCCCAAGAGGAAGGCAATAGTCCCTGAAAACCACTACTGTAAAGGGTAGAACAGCAATACAATATAATACTTAGACATTCAAAGTGTTAGTTCACTTTTGAAAAATGGATGATGGGTATCAAGATACTATATTTAATTCCGTGGTACACATGTAAAAGAGTGACTGTTAATGTAAAATAACATTTTATGATGCACTGGAAATTACATTATTTGCCATTATTTAAACTTATGGGGAAGAGCTTTGGATGTGAGTTTACAATCCATTAGCCAAAAGCATCCTGTAATTTATAGGACAGGTGGGTAAGGTACTTTAATATTCACTTTATTGATCTTTCTCCAAACCCTAATATAGTACTGAGAACACTTTGAGTTTCTCTTAAAGCTGTAAGCCTTTTTAAGAATATATTTAAAAATGTATTAAATTCTTGAACACTATCTTTCTTGATAAAAGCCTGGAAAACTTAACCGAAAATATCAGGGCTTTTAAACAAATGCAAAATATTTAGGGACAAAGCAAATATTTTTCAAAATTCAACTTGTATAGACTAGTAACCTTTTCTACATCCTTTCTTCGGATGATGCCTTAGAAATCCAAGGATTTGGAGATAGAATCATTTTAGAACTCCAAAGATCTTTTCCATACATAGAAGCAATACCTCTTAAATCCTGTTACTAGTTACCTAGTCTCTAACTATGCTCCAATTCTCTCAGCTTAATCAGTTTACCATCAAGAATGCTAATGGGATCATTCATTCTAGCTATAAATATAAAAATGTATGTAGTGCTGTTATTGTTTTAAAGCATTTCCACATAAATTATCTAGTATTAATCAAACACATCTACAAGACAGGTAAGAAGATACTAGGGATAGGCAATTTGCAGTTTAGTAATGACTTGCCGAGTTTACAATTCAGCAGTAGCAGCAGCAGCAGCAGCAGCAGCAGAGTTGACATCTCCAGACTAATCACACCAAACGCTTTTCTTAGAAAATCCTCATTTGATATTTTGCTCATAACTTCACATTGTATGGAGTTTGGGGATGCTTGAAGCCAAGTTAAATAAAATTACTGCAAAGGCGGCAGAAAGTCCTTAGCTGTAGCAGCCAAATTTCTTAATCACTTTATAAAGACTCAAGACTAAATCTTCCAATTTGTCTGTATTCAATGTAGTATCACTTAAAAATCACCTCTATGTTGAATATACTTATTGTCGAAAGGTTTTTTTAAAGTTTGAATTCTTATATCAGGAAGGACAAAATATTAACAGTACTTCTCAAGAGGATGACTGTGCTTTTTACAATCAAGTAACTGTTAAGAATATAGAGAAGCGATGTCTCTCATTAAGCCCCTGTAGAGTTGACCTATTCATGCCAGTTACTAGTGTCTTCTAAAAATCATTGTTCAATCGCTAAAGTTAACTCAGTTAGGACTCTGATTTTTAATACCATATCAGGAACCACCTTCTCAGAACCAGTACTCCTCATTTTAACTATTCGAGCGCTAAGACTAAAAAAGGATTATATGTTCTCAGCCACTGCTAGAGTCCGGATCACCTAAAACTTACACCAAAACAAGGCGCTATAGTTCAGCATTTCCGAGTTATTTTTGCAGTCGTGGCGTGAATCTAAGCCAACGCGCCTGTGTGGAGCGCCAGACAGCCCCGGGTCCCCATGGCTACCGCCACAGCAACGCCTCGTGGCCCGCGGGGCAGGCCTCAGTCCCGGGGCCGCCGCGAGGCGGAGCTGGGGGTGGGTGGGCCTGGAAACACCAGCCCGCTCCTCACGGACCGCACCGGGAAATTCACTTCTCCGAGCAGAAGCAAACGGCTTCAGGGCCGCGCTGTGAAAACAGGCGGGGAGCAAGGCAAACCCGCCGCTCGCTCATCCCCGCTTCTTCGCAGCGGCTAGGACAGAACTCCCAGCTACACCAGGCCGCGTCGGTTCTCTCATGACACTTTCCATTTAGCTTCGTTTTTTCCGTACCCGCTCAGGAAATTTAAGATGCCTCCACAGATAGTAACAGACGCCAAAGATGCGGTCCCCAGCCCGTCCGCCAACAACTCACGCCTTTCCCACGTTTTCACCGCAGGCCCGCCCCTGGCCTAAAGGAGCGCGGGCGCTGGGAGACGCGAACTCCCGCCAGGCGTGCCCCGCCTCGCCCCGCCCCCAGGCGCGCGCCCCACCCGGGCGAGGAGCGAGTAGCACGTTGCCCCGCCCCCTCCTGCCCCGGCGAGAGCAGTCCGGGATGAAGGAATGGCAATTCCGCAATTCATTTATTTCCCCCCCCCTTACAGGACCGTTTCCATGATAGCAAAAGAGAGGCCCCAGTAAAACTCAACAATCATAAAAGATTAACTGTTAACCAAAAGTCATTTCACTACCAGATCTCGCCAGCTTACGCCTTCCCCAGGAGCTGGAGCTCCGCCCCCGCGGAGCCGGCCCCGAAAGCCACCCCCGCGGGCTCGCGCTTACGCTTTCCGGGTGGCGCGCGACGCGCTCGCTCCGCCCCGCGAGCCCCGCCCCCTGGCCCTTCTCCCTCTCTCTGGAGAGCCAGCGCGTACGAATCGGGGCGTGAGGCGTCAGGGACGCGCGGGCACCTCATCCTTCCCACCTTCCTACACTGTTGGTACTTTTCGGTGTGAGACATTCCAGCTTCTCTTCCCCTTCCGTGAGTCCCTCTTTCTCTCTCCTCAGAGACCCCGTTCGCCCCACAGGCGGCCGCCGCAGCTCTCGCGCCCCCAGCGAGCAGTTCGCGTGCGCGCGCGCGCGCGCGGCCGCGCGGCCGTCGGATCCCCGCGCTTCCCCCCCGCCCCTCCCGTTCCTCTATAACTTGGTTGGCGTGTAGGAGGCGCCGCCGGAGTCGGAGGGCGGGGAGCTCGGAGGAGGGAGCTCGAGAGTTGTGGAGACTAGTGACTGGGAGAAGTCGCAGCCTGCTTTGGTCGGCTCCTTCCCTCTCCCCGTCTTTCTCTCTTACACACCTACTCCGCCTCCCGCCCCAGCCCGCGACCTCGCTCCTTCTCTCGCCCGGGGGCCCCTGCCGGTCGCTCTCCGGGTTTCGGCGCGGCGGGGGCGCCCACGGGGTGCCCTCGCCCTCTGGGTGCGTGTGGACGGGAGGCGGGCGGGATGTGGCGCCTGGTGCCCCCGAAGCTGGGCCGCCTGTCCCGCTCGCTGAAGCTGGCGGCGCTGGGCAGCCTGTTGGTGCTGATGGTGCTGCACTCGCCGTCGCTGCTCGCCTCCTGGCAGCGCAACGAGCTGGCCGACCGGCGCTTCCTGCAGCTCAATAAGTGCCCGGCGTGCTTCGGCACGAGCTGGTGCCGCCGCTTCCTCAACGGACAGGTGGTGTTCGAGGCGTGGGGCCGCTTGCGCCTGCTGGACTTCCTCAACGTGAAGAACGTCTACTTCGCGCAGTACGGTGAGCCCCGCGAGGGCGGCCGCCGCCGAGTGGTGCTCAAGCGCCTCGGCTCGCAGCGCGAGCTGGCGCAGCTCGACCAGAGCATCTGCAAACGGGCCACCGGCCGACCTCGCTGCGACCTGCTCCAGGCCATGCCCCGCACCGAGTTCGCGCGCCTCAACGGCGACGTGCGGCTGCTCACGCCCGAGGCGGTGGAAGGCTGGTCGGACCTGGTGCACTGCCCCTCGCAGCGCCTGCTCGATCGCCTGGTGCGCCGCTATGCCGAGACCAAGGACTCGGGCAGCTTCCTGCTGCGCAACCTCAAGGACTCGGAGCGCATGCAACTGCTGCTGACCCTGGCCTTCAACCCCGAGCCGCTGGTGCTACAGGTAGGCGCGGAGCCCGGGAGGGGGGCGTCCTGCCGGGAAGGGCCGCGCGAGGTAACCGGAGTCGGAGAAGAGGCTCCGCCGGCGCTCGTTGCCCCGTTTGGACCCGGCCCAGCTGGGCCAGCCTGCGGGCATGGGAAGGGGGTGGCACTGGGGGACTCTTGGGCGCTGTGTCGGATTGCGGAGGGCGACCCGGCTGGTAGAGAGTCTGTTCTTGGCACCTAGACACGGACGCATCTCGGATTTGACTGCGGATCCTTTAACACCAGAGGGAGCGCGTCTTGTACGTTCCCAAAATGTCTCTCCAGTGAGTTTCCTTGGGCTCTTTTCCCTGCCTTTCTGCTTTTATCCACCGGCGTTTGCACTTCGACAGCGCGGTCTGTTCACGAGCCCTTGGACCTTTCTTAGTTCTTAAGTGTTTCTGTACCGCGTTTGCTGTCCCCTTTGGTGCTCTTCGTGCCTGGCCTAACTTCGGCCCCAAAGTCTTTGTTTTATTCTTTAGCTCACTTACCTGGCGGATCATTGGGGCAGCTAATTTGGGGACAAGCTGGGGAATTGAGACTGTGGTCAGATTAATCCATTGAGCCGTGCTTTGAGTAGCATTAGGAAGAGGAAAAAGTAAGGAAGGCATCGTTGGACTTGGGGCTGGGAGGATTTGAGGCCAACACGGACATTTTCATCCTGATTCTGTTACCTGCTGTATTTATCTAGTAATTCGGCTGCAAGAAGATGAAATATTAGGCCAGGGTGAGAAATAGGGGAAGGAGATTTTTATCTCTCTCGTCTAGTTGATTTATTGGCTCTCTCGTGACTTTATTTTGAAAACAAACACACCTTTTAGGGGAGTAGGTTGGCATCTTTTTAGTGGTGACCGCAAAAAAAGAAAACCCAAAAAACTGGTGACCTTTGGAGTAATTGAGTTTCTGCACATTCCCGCCCGGCTTTAGTGTGGTGTCCTGGGATAGTGGTTACAACTGTGCGCTTGTGACCCTTCCTGTAATTGCAGGAAAGTTACCTTGCTCCTTTGCCATACAGTTTTGCTGTTTATCAAATACGGGGGCGGGGGGGGGGATGACTTAAAATTAATAACTAACTTTGGTATACTTCATGCTCTTTCTGTGCTGCTGAGAATGTTACTAGTGGGGGGTGTGGTTGTACAGGATTCTTGGTGTGGTTTTTTTTTTTAATCTGAAGTGCATGAATAGGAATGTACGGTATTTATTTACATTGCTTTCTTTTCTCAAGTTCTCCGCTGCCCAATTTAGCTAAGAGTAACCAGCTTCCTTTGATTAATTCAGCCAAATAATTTTAACACGAAATAAATACTTTGCCTCAAAACTTTAGTGTGGGTCTTAGTAAATTTTAAGCTGTCATAGGATGTACCTAACAGGTTACATTTAAAGTAGAGATTGTATATTAAACACTGCTCTCTAACAGTGAATGGTGTATAAAATTGGTTAAACTTCTCTCTAAGAAATTATTTTATTAAGTAGTTTCAATAAAACTAGTCAGCCTCTAAAGCTTAAGTCCGTATTTGTGATACACATTTGACTTGAAACTTTTTTTTTTTCCATTTAAACTATCTTTTATCTTTGAGAAATAGATGTTTATATTAGGAAGGTTGGTCCCTGTAGAAAGCTTTAGCAGTGTATTTGCAGATAATCTGTCAAATTCTCTGGGACCCAAAAATTTAGTAAGGAGCTGAGTAGTAGTACACATTTCCTGCACTTGTAATAGTGCGTGCCTATTGAAAGGTTTTTATCAGGTAATTCTGAGTATTGGTATATTAGAAACAACAACTAGGACTGATATTTTAAGAACATTATATATCCAGTTCTTTATAAAGATATCTTGGCATTTGATTTGCACTAAGGAAAATCTGCTTTATTTCGGAAGCTTTTATATTAAATTTTTGAAGTTTGGAGTTGTCTTGACATTTTCAATTTACTTTCTAGTTGAAATAGGCACATGTGCTTGTACCTTCTTTCTGATTAACTCTTCCCTCAGACTTTCTGTTTTCATCTTTAGTGATAAACAACTTTTTAAAAAAAAATCAGTTACATTCTTGTAATTTAAACTTAGCGACACCATTGTTCTGAGTGGGTGATGGATGGGTTATAGGATAAGAGTTTGTTTTTAGTATGTGAGGAAATATATGTTAACATGGTTAATTTTGGCTTTTGTATTTTGCATTTGATATTTAGGCAACCTGGTTCTATAGCTAGTAAATGCTGTGTGAAATGTAAATTTGGGGTCTTTAATACCAGTCAGTCATATTCGTGTGTTTAATTTTTTACCTGATGAACAAGCAAGTTGAATAAGATTTATTTTTAAATAAATTTTCATAGAGCTGTTTTCTTTATAAAACCACTTCATCTGTGGGAAAAATTAGTTAAGTATGAACAATGCAGTTGAGGTTTGTTTGATGGTGGAGTAAAACCACTAAAGTGAAAGGAATCTTAAAATTCTGTGATCAGGTACAAAGACTAAGTCAAATCATATTGTTATTTCTGTTAACTAGACAAATGAATACAAGTTTAGTATTTATGTGGGTTTCTGTAAAACTAATAGCTATGTATGGTAGTATGCGGTATTAATGATAGAAAATCTCACTCAAATTTGGCTATTTGTGCATTTTGGTTCATGTACCTTAAAAAATATTTTTAAAGATCCAAGCATGTATTTTACAGCTTAAAGAGGAACTCAGCATTTTTTTTTCCAGGAGAGGGAGCTACTTCTTGAATTTTTGGACAGTTGGTGACAAATTAGATTTTTCTTATATTGTCCAAAAATTACCTTGGGGGAAAAAAAGTCTTTTGAACTGACTTCATCAAACTATTCTTAACAAAAGTTCCAGTGTGGTAAACATACTTCCAAAATAAATATTTAAAAATCTCCTTTGATGGGCGCCGGGGTGGCTCAGTGGTTAAGCAACTGCCTTCGGCTCAGGTCATGATCCTGGAGTCCCAGGATTGAGTCCCGCATCGGGCTCCCTGCTCAGCAAGGAGTCTGCTTCTCCCTCTGACCCTATCCCCTCTCATGTGCTCTCTCTCATTCTCTCTCTCAAATAAATAAATAAAATCTTTAAAAAAAAAAAATCTCCTTTGATAGGTACTAGAGAAAGAACTGAAAATGTATATAAATTTTGCCCATTAAACTTGCATCTTCTGATTTTAAGAAACAATAACAAATTAAATTTTCTATTATGCCTTGAAAGAAGACATGGAAGGTACTAAGTGTATGTAAGACCTATTATACACCTACTTTATCTATGTAAGGCTATATAGATTTGTAATATAGACTTAGCCAGTATGAAATGGTATGAAAGTACAAATCTCTTCCCATCGTTGAATAGTTTTACTAGCTTACAGCAGCTTATCTAGTTCAAAGGAAAGTTGTTTGGCCATAGAATTATCTTCTAGAAATTATAAACATCAAGAAACAAGATAATGCTAGAACCTTTATCTTCTACACTGATACTTTATCTTTTTCTTCACAGTTTTACTTCACCAAGAAGTAGTTTTAATTATAAGTATGCCATAATCCTATGAAGAAAACTGGAGAGAGGGACTTTGTCGATTTTTTATTGTGCAATAGTATTCTTGGAATATTGGAAAATCAAGGTGAAGTGTTTTGACAAGATGTCAAGGTTATTGGTAAATTTTCTACCAATATTTGTAGTTACCTTTTCTTGAATTTTAGAAGTTGTGACTGTTTTAGAGAAAAGTACTGTCTGGATTTCCTGAAGCCCAAACCATCTCTGACTTGATGACCTAGAGATAATGATGATGGTCTTATTTATAGAAACAAAGAAAGCTCTTGTTTGTTTAAGATGGAGAAATTGGGAATTTGTTTCACTACATTTGTAGGACTTTGTCTTAAATTTTCTGGATCACGGTTTTAATAGGAGTTCCTTAATTTTTACAGTACTTAACTGTCATTTATGCTATAGATTTTTAGCTTTTATTTCAATTTTTGTAAATGACAAAGTACATGCAAAATGCATTATATAGTGCCAAATCCCTGTTAGGCACTCAGTGTTAGAAGTTAAATAAGGTAAAAGTAACTTTAACTGTCTAGTGGTTAGTCAGCTGTTTTGAAGCTTGTTTGGAATATGGATCACCTTAAAATAGTTATGATTCAGACTGTGAACCATACCTTTAGTTATATTGATTTAGTCCATCCCTATATCACATGATGAATTTTTACAGAAAATGTTGAGTGAATGTTGTTTTGTCCTTAAAGATACTTCCTAAAGGAGAAGATATTTTTAAGGTGCACGGCCCAAGATACGGTTTTTGAAGTAAACAAAAGATTACAGCCATTTAGCTGTCTTACTTTGGACAAGTTGACAAACTTTTTTATGGGACTTATCTATAAAATGAGACTATTAGATTAGGTCCTTTCCTTTTTAGCCCCAATATCCTTTGAGTCTCAAATCCTTGATTTGAGAAATTATTTTTTTCTACTTCTTTTCTGAGTTTGACTTTAACTGGTGGGTTTAAACTTCTAAAAGGGGGTTGGGGGTTTTGGTACTTGGTCCCTGCTAGAAGGTATGGGAAGGAGGCCAGGATAGATAACCCCATTTTCAAGCTTGTATTCCTCCCAAATTTTTACACACACTAAATCAGATTAAAACAAAACGAAAAAACCAGAGAATGCCTTTAAAGGAAAGAAATATGGAGCTCAGTGTGGCCAAGTATCTTGTGGGGCAATAACATTTTGAAAGAATGTTCCAGACTTTGTCTCAGGAGTTTCTTTGCAAGCAACAGCTTAGGGAGCCACCTCCTTCTGTCCCACTGGATGCTACTGTGATAACTGCATTCCCAGATTTTCAGAGATAGTTCTGAGTAGGTAGTTCTAAGTAAAGCACTTTTTATCTAATTCATAACCTTAAATCTAGAGGTTTTGGTGTTTTTCTTTTTTCTTTTTTTTTTAAATCAGGTTTTATGGACACTTGAATGTGCTTCATGAAAAACCAAACATAATAAAATAATGTCTGT